GTGTCGCGTTTGCGGTAGAACCGTGCTGGATATCTCGAGCATCCACGCTCATTTCGTTGTCACAGGAACCGGGTGTACGAGAGCAACCGAACGATCGATAACACGGATAATCGAACGTCGAACGAGGACATACCCGCCTCGAGCGTTTCTGGTTCCTCTCCAAAGTCGCGAATAATACCGCGGGTCGTGCTCGATAATCGCTTTTTCCGAGTCTTCGCAGAGTGGATTTCGATAGTGCGAAGAGACACGTCGACACTCCGCGTCACAAATGTTCGCCAATTCTAGATGACATCGTAAAGCGTCATTTAATAGCGTCTCCGTTAGTCTTTCACGTTTGGATCATTTTTGTTCATCATATCGTCTTGTCTGCTCTTATTGAAAGAGTCATCACGTGTCAATTTAAAAATTGCGAGCTTGTCATTAAATTTGTTTTACTCATGAGTCTCGAAACCTCCTATTTTTTATATAAAAATTCAGTCAATTTAAAAATGTTTCATTTTCTTGAATGATACAGATGGAGATCAATGAGTGTAACGCGATGACATAACTTATAATTAAAATAGTTACGATATGCAATTGTTGTCTATCAAAGGGTAGAACGTAAATTGAATCGCAGCCTTTCACGTTCAGGATCACTTTTGAGCGTATCGTCTTGTCTGCTCTTATTGAAAGAGTCACATGTGCTAATTTAAAAATTGCGAGCTTGTCATTAAATTTGTTTTACTCATGAAACTCGAAACCTCTTTTTTTAATAAAAATTTAGTCAATTTAAAAATGTTTCATTTTCTTGAACGATACAGATGGAGATCAATGAGTAATGTAACGCGATGACATAACTTACAATTAACGTAGTTACGATATGCAATTGTTGTCTATCAAATCTGTTCGATAAAGGGTAGAACGTAAATTGAATCGCAGTCTTTCACGTTCAGGATCACTTTTGAGTGTATCGTCTTGTCTGCTCTTATTGAAAGAGCCACATGTGCTAATTTAAAAATTGCGAGCTTGTCATTAAATTTGTTTTATTCATGAAACTGGAAACCTCTTTTTTTAATAAAAATTTAGTCAATTTAAAAATGTTTCATTTTCTTGAATGATACAGATGGAGTTCAATGAGTATCGTAACGCGATAACATAACTTACAATTAACGTAGTTACGGTATGCAATTGTTGTCTGTCAAATCTATCTGTCAAATCTATCCGATACAGGATAGAATGTACATTGAATTGCATTTCCCTCGTTATGAGAAAATACAATTGGGTATTTATACGCACTTGCGGCATACGTTGCGAAATTAGCAATTAGCGCTAACGGCCTCGTTGCATCTCCATCACGCGGCTTAATTCAAAATAAGACGGAACGATGCGCAAAGCGCTAACAGTGAATTCTGGGATGTAGCCAGAGAGCTACGAAGCTAATACCATTAACTCAACAATTGCTAAAGTGGCAATTAGACTTCGAAGACGAAACCGTGTGTGTGACACTTGGAACTGAGATTCGATTGTATATATGTGTGGAATGATACGAGACTTGGAAATTTGTACGCGGTGACGACCAAAATATATGTTACCCTTTTTAAGCATTGCATAGTTTTTTATACTTTTGTGTTTGTCTCTTATTTTCGAGTAATAAATCTATTAAGATATTTAAGATTATTTAAGATAATACTTTTATAAATTGAATTGAATTTTATATAATATATATAAACGCAATTTTTTTTTCAATTTGTTTTCTCGTAGACTGTTGCTTGAAAAAATTATTCGTACAAGTTTTTGAAAGCGATAAGAAGACGCGATATCTACTCAAAGTATTCTGTAAGCGTGAATTTTGGCGCACAAAACATCTCTGAACCAACAATCAAAATAGAATTTGGCGATATATCGGTAGATCCTCCGAGTCTTAAGATTGTCGCTTCGATTTAATTTCCACGATTATCCTTACACAAATACATTCTTCTCTCTGGTGATATCAAAAACGGATCCGTCGCGATAAGAGATTTTGAGCTGGCTTGAAAAATAATGATTAGGGGATGTTTGAGAGTTACACTCCGTTGGCGGTCGTGGTACCAGCTTTTCAAGTCCCTTAGCCGACGGTGACGGTCGCCTTCGACTTTCTCGAAGCCCTTCGGCATCCGAGGAGGGTAGAGATCGCCCTATAGAACGGTCGAGGGTTCGGTGGTGGAAGAAAAGCGGTTGCCCTCGAGAATTCCACCCTCCCTCCCTGCCCCCTCCAAGGGTCATGTAGGTGTTAATCGCGACGTGTGTGCGAGACGCTGAACGTAGAGGAGAACACCGGGATCGGGTAGTAAGCCGCGAAATATCGACCGTAGATGTTGTTGATGCAAACGGTAACCATGGGTGACTCGGCTAGATTGACCAATTGCAGTCTTCACGGTGGCCGTACACGACCAATAGGCTCGCGGTACGCTGCCGGTTTTTTGATTGGGCGATACCAGGGATAAGAGACCAGTTCGAGGCCATCGGGACTCACAAATGAACGTGGACACTCGAAGCGGAGAACATCGGCCTGCTGCTGCGACCGTGCAAAGTGCCCGTCGTCGTTCTTGGTCGAACTTGGTCACCACATCGTCGTCCATCACCTCGCTCGTCCTCTTATCGCGTAACGCGACCCACGGATAGCGATTCGGATTTTGTGTCTATCTCTCGGTTATCGGTATCGCCGAGCCCCTTCTGCGTAAGATTCTTTTATCAATCAGCTTTAAGGTCTGGAGCTTGACTTCCAACATGACCACTGCACACTACTGTGGATGCACTTGATGTTTCGCTTTATTGTGTGTCCCGCCACTTGCTTTGTGACGGTCCTCGAGTCTGTGAGTCTCCGAGAGGCAGCGGATACGTCAGCGAATTTTTCTCGGTTTCCCTTCGACGAATTTTTTTCTATGCACCAATCGGCATCAAGTGGATGCAGCTATGCGAGAGATAATTTGTTTTATGATATGACGAATTTATCATCACTTTAGATTTTCAATTTTTCAGCTTTGAAACATGTATATGCACTTAAATTATACCCTTCCATTAGTCTCTTTTTGCATATTGCATCTAATATATCATACTGTTATTCGGTCGTACAATTTTTATTGAGAAGCTTAGTCAATGCACATCCATCTTGCTCCTCCATGTGCGATATTAAAAAGCTTTAATCGATATTTTTTGTAGCCATTTTTAGCTAAATCAGAGTAGAAAGAATTGTGATATATTTTTTTATTTTAAATTTAAGAAGCAGAGGACGATTGGATTGGTTTTTGTTCGATTTTTTTAATATCTTTTTTATACACGCCTATTTTTTTTATACATTCTCAAACCGATTAATTCAGCAATATGTACTCGCGATTCAGTTAAAAACGTACATCTTGAATTATTCTTATGGCAGATCGCGGGCTAGCAGAGTGGATTACTAGTGTACTTTGTGTTATAACACGCGTTTCGTCGGTCGAGCGCGTATTTTGCATCGGATTCGCCCGCTTTCAGCTACCACCACTACCATTACTTCCACCCCTACTATCGCCAACGGCAGTCACCACTGTCACTATCGTCCTTTCTCGCTTGATCTATGTGTTTGTCGGGGCGAAATTAAGTTATTTCATTATCACACGCTATTGTAGCTATTCCCGTCTGTATAGACACGCTGTTGTTTCGGCGCCAAACTGGCTTCGTCCGTCTCGAGAGAGAAAACTCGTACGACGGACACATTAAGAGGATTCTATATAAGTTTTTGCCTCTCTCGTGATCAAGTGACCCGTTAATCCTAAACTCGACAACGTACTCCTAGCGTTTCTTCCGTTATTTAAATGAGAGTGTGTTTGTGGAAATATTTACGCAGAAAAAAAATAAAACGTCAAATCAAAACTCATATACTTCGATTAACGCGTTCATTGTTTCGCAACAATTTCTAATCTTCTCAGAAGAATTTAATAATTTTAAACAGTATTACAGGCTTATTTTAATATCGCAATTGTCAGCTCAAGAATGTATAATTATTTAATTCTGCTTTAAGAAAATTATAATCTTTGATTTAAATATGTTAGCTTCTATCCAACATTGTTTCTTTTCCATTCAAGAAAATTAAATCGTAAGAATATATTTTTCTTGATTGAATTATATAAAATGGCTTCATTCAAGTAAGCAATTATTCGAGCAATTATATTTTTCTTTAATTAACGATATAATCTCATTTCAAGATTTTCATTAAAACTAAATATATCTTCAAAACTAAAAGATGTCCTTTTTTTCCGTGTAGAAATATATTTCTCGCGTATTATAGTTTTATTTTAATATTGCAATTGTCAGCTCAAGAATGTATTTCTGTATGTATAATTATTTCTGTATGTATAATTATTTCTGAATGTATAATTAATTCTGCTTTAAGAAAATTATAATCTTTGATTTAAATATGTTAGCTTCTATCCAACATTGTTTCTTTTCCATTCAAGAAAATTAAATCGTAAGAATTTTTCTCGATTCAATTATATAAAATGGCTTCAAGTAAGCAATTATATATTCGAGCAATTATATTTTTCTTCAATTAACGCGATATAATCTCATTTCAAGATTTTCATGTTAAAACTAAATATATATCTTCAAAACAAGAATGTCCTTTTTTTCCCGCGCAGAAATATATTTCTCGCGCATAACGAAGAGCCGTAACCGAAAATACATATTACCCGTATAAAAAACGTCAGAGGTATAAATACTTTAAATCGGACATGTATATATTCAAATCCTACGTTCGAATCAATAACATTTTGTTCGTCATTGGAAATAAACACGTTCCGCACGTTTTGTTTATGCGCGAGTTTGTATACATTGTGCGTGTGTGTGTGCGTGTGTCGCAATCCCCGCTTAGAACACTTGACAACACGTGCGTGTCTCTCACGAAAACGAGTTTGGCGGACAGCTCAGTCCTCTCGTGGAGCTCTCGCGTCGCGGATTATCGTGTGACGCGAACCTGGAGCATAACTCTGTCGCGTTTTGTGTTTCAGACTGACGGAGAGCTGGCATTGATCGCGGAGTAATTTACTTCTGTGTCAAGGTGAGTCGATAAATACGTTTACTTTGAGAATTAGTTGCTTCGCAAACTTGAAAGAATGACGATAAAATAAGAGCGTCGCGTTAATTAATCGATCGCCAGTCACGTATTTAAATCGCTCTTAAATGGATCGGCGAATTTCGCGCTTATTCGCGAGTGACGCTATTTTCGCAAATTTCAAGGGTAGCGAATCAGTTGCACAAGTCGCATCGCATTCGTTATCGCGTTACCGGATACTTTTCTAATTGCTAATTACCAGCCACTCGCGTACTATACTCGTGTATAAAGATCGCCGATAAGATTACCGTGTGGCTATTGTTGGCGTATTCCGGGAAAGACGGGTCGGATTAGCATACGCCATTCATGCGCCGCGTAATTTTCTCCGTTTTCTCCGGGCTTTTCCGGCGTCGTCGGAAAATTGACGCGATTCAGGAATCCTTATTTGATCGCGTAAGAATAATGTCATCCGTTAGTCGGCTCTCGCATTCGCCCTGGCATTCGAACGAGCCGGTGACGAATATGAGGAAAGCCGCAAGAAGTAACTGTTCCCTTCGTGCCCGTTTTCATTCAATTAGACTCGCTATTTATATCCGTGCGAGCCTCTCTCGGCAGATTAAGACGATAATCAAGTCGTCGGAAACATACGATTCTCTAATCGCGGCGAGAGGCGCGCGACGCTTTTAATTATGTCAAGCCCGCGGCTAATGAAACCGGAATGAAATGTGTCGTTAAAATTGTATATTTCCGCGCTAATAATCGCTCACGAACGTATAATTTCATTAAACTCCATTATTATCATTTAACTCATTGGTAATATGGATATACCCGGTGATATGACGCAATAAAGCAGCTTTTGTCGCGAATGTTTCTAATATTTGAAACAACGACGGAAATTCTATATTTAATAATTATATGCGTGAAATGTATTATACACTCGCGCGAAGTTTCACGATACGTATCGAATTTTTTGTTTACATTTCTACATCGAAAAGTCAATTAATGCAAACCGTTAAATTAATTAACGCAAACCGTTAAATCATGTACCGAGTTAACGTAAACCGCTGCAACATTCGACGCGGACGACTATTTCCGACACGAGAGTGAGGCTGAGGCTTTCCGTTTCTTTTCGTCCGATTCAAGAAGAGGGAAGAAAGAGAGAGATGGAGAGAAAAAGAGAATCACGAAGCGTGACTGTGAATTCTCATTTCAGCCGTGAAATCACAGTCCATCATATCCCACTCGCTCTCGTTTCGTGTCCTTTCCCTTTCTCTTCCTCGCTACGTCTTTATTTTACATTTTGTCGTTTACCTTCCACGATGGAAACATTTTCTTCGAGGCTCTACAATGATGGCACGATCATTTAATATTATTTAATTTATATTGTCGAAATTTCCCCTCCTCTATCAAGCGCGAACTCGATCGCATTTTCGATAACATTTGTAATCGCGATGTCGATTTTTATTCCCCCATAAATATGCAATCGCGCATGCGAATCGATCTTTCCTCAAAAAACGGAGATGTAGCTTTTCAATAGTTTTTTTTTTGACATTCTACATTCATCGGCTTTTTATAATCCCGCTTATTTTGCGTTGCGTCGCATTATCGCTCCGAAAAGTGTAATCCTTTCGCGTTCGTTACGGTTCGTTAATCCCCATCTCGGCAGAAACGGACGGACGTAATTTCAAAGCGAAAAGAAGGGGATCAAGCATCGCAGATTGTTACGTGTGTTTACCGAATATTAATCAGTCCACACATCGTTGAACTCATCTTTCTTTTTAATCGTGCAATCCCGGCGACAGGAACGAAATATCTTTCGAAAAAACGAATCGACATCTAAAATATATGATAAGTATTTGTTTTTTCATATCTTTTCGATGATCATCTTTCGCGTTTAACATGGAAGTAATTGTAACAATTTGTCATCGGTATTCCGTATTCGATCTCTGCTCGAGAGTTTCCTAAAGTTACCGCGAATTATTGCGAGGAATGAAAATGGAAAACGCGGAAATGTATGGAAATCGGAGAAAGTCGTACGTACACGAAGCCCACGATTATACGAACGGGTATACACGCGGTGGAAATGCAATCGCGGAGAAACGTGTCGTAGAATATCGGAGAAATGGAAGACGCTGGAAGTAAGAATGGGAAGAGGGACGAGTTTATGTAATACGATAATGTAATTTTGGGCGGGACGATGAGGTAAGGCCGCGCTATCGTATCGAGGAGCGATATATCGAAGCGAAAAAGCCGGGATTCCCGGCTGTGGGAAGGAAACTGCTCCGAGAAGGGCTCTCGGATGTACGCGTGTGGGCGCAAGGAAGAGAGTAACCGGATGTTCGCGCGCGAGAACCGCAGAGATACGAGACGCGAATTCGATTTTGTTTTGCCTTTGCGGTCGTAAAGCTGTTTCTATCGTCGGTCGTAACTTTTAGAGCGAGAATTTCTCTATGAAGATTTTATCTGTTTATTCCGGAGTATCTCCCTCAGTCGTTCGGGGGCTAAAATCGCGCTTCCTTATCGATAAACGGATGCGCCCGGGTCCTCGCCGTGGATTATTACGACCCCCTGGAAACACGTTTCTCGAATCGTATCGCGGGTTCCCGCTGAATCACCCTGTACGTACGACGGGCGAAATTGCGGGGGTGGGCGCCGCGCGAGGGAGAAGAAAGTAAGGGAAGAAAAGGCGAGAGAGAACGAAGGGACGAGGGCGCATCGTCGGCGCATGCGCGCCGACGCAACAATATGGTGAATTCCGCGAAGCGGCCCAGTATCCGCCCGACCGTCAGCTGATCGATATACTTCCGCACGCACGCCACGTCATACGCGCCGTCCCCGAGTGCGACACGCATGTCATGCATCGGCCTGACCGTTACGCGGGCGACTTTACGCCGCGGTGCACGGGATTTCGTGTTTTGCGTTACGTCATACGTGTCGTTGTCCTTCCGCCCCTCGTCCCCCTCTTCCTCGTCCTCATCCTGTTCGTCTCGATTGTCGTGCGGCTGACGAGCGGGTCGCGCAACGGTTCGGACAACGAGGGGCTCTTCCGCAGGTAGAGTCCGAAGGGAGGAAGAGCTTCGTCGATCGCAGGTATGTCGAAATGTGCCACCCGATCGCGCTCAAATGGAATTCCTAGTGTCTCCTTTCACAAACTGCGACAGCGTAATTGCGAATTTTGTGAGATTCCAATTAGATTGTTGGCTGCTTTTAAAGAAGGAAGCTTTGGAAAGCCTCTATCTTTATTCGGATGCGAATCAAATTCCTCCAGAAACATTTTGCGTTACGTGGGTAACTCGAAATTAATTCGGAACCTGCACTGTGTGTGCGACATGCAGGTGTCGCGATCTTTGTCTATACACAGAGAAAAATATATACTGTATTCAAGTAAATGTTATTTATTTTAAGTACATCATAAGTTTGTATATCTGATGTATTAATAGGTTCACCACGAGCATTGAATTTAATTGAATATATTCTGAATTTTAGTAAGTGCGGTATTTTAGTCAAGAATATTAAATTAAAAGAAAAATTTGGTTTCCTTACACACATGAGTTGATGTAAAGTAAGTTGATTTTTCTTTGATGCAACTTTACAATATTCTTGAAGAAAATAATTTCTTCTTTTCAGTACATGATAATTTTCTAACACTTGTGATGAGTATTACAATTTAGACTATTATCAAGAATATATTCTTTATTGAAGAAAACTATTACTTGAAAAAAGAAAAATAAATTGAGTAATCGCTTTTCTTGATAGTAGAACGATATTTTTCTCCGTGTATGCTTTCTCATTCTCGCGTCGCGACTTTTAATCGTAAAAAAACAGTATAATTTTTCATTATTTTTCTGGAGTAAGTTTTAATTTCTCGCTAAATTAATTAATGGAATTCGTTTAAGAATTTACTATATTATTTATCCACCATTTATTAGTTTATTATCCAATTTTGTTTTAATTACAATTCATACATAATTATCCATCGATCACCAATTTCTTCCAACGGACGTCTTTATCCGTTTAATAACCGTACGGGATTCCCTTTGGTAGCTTTCGTCGGACGCCTCGTCTTCGTCGCTGCATTCGTGGCGCGTATAATCTCGACGGTGTCGAGTGTCGCGGTTAGTCAGCGTTCGCCGCTCACGTAAGCGACGTAATCGCGCTTTCGGCATAAACAAGAGACCCCTTATGGACGCGCGTCTCTTCTGGAAACGCGACACCCGCGGCGCACCTTTTTCGCGGGACGCGACAATCCGATCCGAAAAAAATGATCCTTGAAAGTCGTATCGCGCGCCGCATGACCCCTTGACAGGGGTTCTCCGCCTCCGCAACCGTGAAATTCTCACCGCGCGCCGATCTCGGAACCGTTCATTGACTCTCTCCCTCTCTCTCTCCCTCTCTCTCTCTCTTTCTCTCGCCGCTCTCGCCGTCCTCGCTCGCGCACGCACACTTTGCTCGCGACGTGCATACGCCGCTCCTCTCGTTTCTCCGCCCTCCCTCCACCCCTGTCCCCTCCCGCTCGTCTCCTCGTCCCCGCGATCTCCCTCCGCGAGCAACTCGCCCCACCAGTACTCGCGCCTCCTCGCGACGAGGAAGAGGTGGACGCGCCTCGCCGGAGAGGAACGAGCTTCGGCCACTTGGCGAAGCAAAGTTTATTCCGTGTTCTCGGCCTAGTGTCAGTTGTAGCGCAATCGCGTCTGCACGCGTGGAATTATTCGCGTCGTAATTTGCTCCCTCGCGCGGCCGAATCTTTCCCCTGGCCCACTCGAGGAAGGATCGAGGAGGAACATCGGTGCCGTCGATGGTCTCGCGTAACGTCGGGACGCGCTCACCAGGTTCGTTCGCGTCGACCAGGGAGCGGGAACCGGAACGTCGCGGATCTCGTCCCTGCCTCCGCTCGCGAAAGATTACGTCCCTCGCGCGGAGAGGTTGAACGAACTTGAAGTACAGCTGCCGCTGCGTTTGGCACGTTTCATTGTCCCTGACCTATCCCTGGCCGGGAGGGGGAGGGGGAAGGGAGGAGGGGACGTCTGGAATTTTCAACCTTGAATGCTCGCGCGATCGTGATTCGCGAGCGTGCACTCGGCTCGTGCGGCCGGCATTGTGGAGCTTGCCGTCTCGCTCTACACGTATCTGGTGACAGTGATCTAGCAAAAGTAATGCTCAAGGTTCCGCTCCGGGTCAGTCCTTGAGATCCGCGCGAGGCAGCGAAGCGCGATCGAGCGTTTTAACGCTCGCGAGATCGATCGTTCCGTTCTCGAGAGGACGACGACCGAGCGAATAACTTTGTTGTCACCTTTGATACTCGTCGCGGAATTCGCTTGTGTAAGCTCGCGCCAAGTTTCTCGTCGACGCCAACAGCGGGCCCGCTTAATAAATGCGCGACTTGAGCAACCGAGGATTTAGTAAGGACGCCTTTATCGACGCGAGGGATCCGAGGAGCCAGCCCGCAGTGGATGGCCTTGCGTAGATTCGCGAGATAATCGCGCCGGTTAATCGCGATTTATCTCCTCTCCCGGCGGTTTCGCAATTTCTTTTGGGAACACCAGGCTTTACGGCCCGCTCGCGCACAGTCCAGGTAGCCCCCGACAGCGATGAATAGCCGGACGAGCAGTCGTAATTAATTTCAGCGCACACGTGACCGCGATATTCCGTCTTCTCGTCTCGGCGCGAGCTTTACTTGGACGATACGCCGCTCGAGCGTGAGATGCATAAATGCGCGATTCGATTGGGCGAAAAAATAAGCGGAGCGAGATCCGCTCGTTTATTCCGCCGAGGCGATTTTCTTGTTATTATTAATTTCGCAAGTTTAAATGCCCCGGTTTATCGTGGGAAAGTACTTATTTGTATGCATAGAGTACGCGTACTTTAATGGCGTTTCGCCATTCGCAGTCCATCGACGAAATTTCTAGTCGCATACTAATTCCCTAGGTAGATGCCGTCTCCTTCGGCATCAACGTTTAACGTCAATTCCGTTGATAATTGATTCAATTTCGCACAAACTGTACTTGAAAAAGTGACGCGGATACCTCAATTATCACTTTCCTTCGATGTTAAGATTAGGAAAATACGAGCTGTTAATTCCCGAGATGCTAATTATAATAATTCGCATGTACGCAACGCGTATCAGACGAGAACTAATTCGCAACTATATTGATTGTGCAGGTCTTAGTGTTGGTTCATCGCGGAGGCTGCAAAGGCGAACATCATTATCGGTGAGTAACAGTTTGTTTTATTAAATGAAAGTTTCAATAAAAAGAAAAAAGTATATTTCTTTCGCGGATTTTTGCGTCGCGATCTCTAGAGCTAATATATCATCTCGTGACTCGCGGGAAGGAAAACTCTCGGGAATATTCTTATTGCCGCGTCGCCGCGGGGCTAAACACGCGCTGAATGGGATTACGATTAACGCGAAAAGCAGGTCGCGACGTTTTCGCGCGGTGAAGGCGAAAGCAAAGCCGGTGCAAAGTAAAACGGTCCGCGCGCGCGCGCGCGCGCGCGATGGCGAAGCGTTAGAAAAGAGGGACGCGAAGTGGTCAGACTGGTGTAACAGGACGTTACCCCCTGGTTGCGTGTGGCAGGGGCAGGACGATATTGTTGTTGCGCCTTCCTTCATCCTTCGCGCATGGATTTCTCTCGACCCTGCGTCGCGCCGGCAACGGTTCTCAAACTTTACGCCGCGATTTCGATCCTCTCGACAGTCGAATCAAATCTGACGAATTGAATTCATTTATTTATTTATTTTTTTCCTTTTGAAAAATGTATAATTAATATACAGCGTTCTATATTTTTTAGGGTAAATAATTCTTGAATATTTGTAGCTGCTTGTTTATTAGATTCCATTATTTTTTCTTTTTCGAAAATGTATAATAATGTATATGATTAATATGGAGCGTTTTATATTTTTTAGGATAAATAATTCTTGAATATTTTTAGCTGCTTGTTTATTAAATTTCATTATTTTTTTCTTTTTGGAAAATGTATAATAATATATATAATTAATACAGAGCGTTTTATACTTTTTAGAATAAATAATTCTTGAATATTTTTAGCTTGTTTATTAAATTCCGTTATTTTTTCTTTTTGGGGAATGTATAATAATATATATAATTAATACAGAGCGTTTTATATTTTTTAGGATAACCAATTCTTGAATATTTTTCGCTGCTTGTTTATTCGATTCTAATCTTTTGCGAATTTATATATTTTTTTGCTCTTTGTTTTTTCCTTTTTATCCTTATTATTTTTCACGCGAAGGGAAATTTCGATCTTGATTGTTGATCGCGCGTAGATTTCGCTTTGCCTTCGATCGCGAATTCCACCTGCAGCAACGCGATTACTTACCTCGCGGATCTCGCTTCTCATTTTTCATCCCCGTCTCGCATTCCCATTACACGCCGCCGCGAGCCGATGTTCTGGAATGCCAGACAACGAAAACAAATGGCTCGCATAGATTAAAAATCATCGTCATATATTCTATCTCGCGGCGATCGTTTCGTCGTTTCTCTTTGCATGCCGATACGTATATGACACAAATATTTCTTAAATCTTCCACAGAGAGCTATCGATAGGTCCTGTATACACGAGTGTAATAAACCATTGTCGACCGCAAAGGGTTAACTTAATGCTACGAAACGAGATAGTTGGCGCGGCTCCGAATCAGTTCTTATGGTAAAATAATATCGCTCGGTGGTTTCGATATTTACGCAACTCGATCGTATTGCGTGATATACATCGTAAGATACTCGAGATGGTTTTAACGCTGATTGGCATGTGCGCATTTCTTCGCATTTAAAAATACAAAGATCTTAATGCATTTAATTCCATGGTGTTAAAGTACGTCTGGCTTGTCAAATCAGCTTGTTACAATTGTGAAAGAAGCGAATGCTTTTCGCGTCTACCTCTAATGGCTGATAATTTTACAAACTTTTCGCTTCTTCTCTCTCTCTCTCTTTCTGATGTTACGATCGCGGCCTACAAATGACGTCGGGTTAAAGATCGTGTTTCCCACTAATTACTATTCTTGTTCAACCACGACTAGCTTGATGCCAGCTTCGGCACGTTTTCACAGGCGCGGCGTGCTAACGATTTTCTTTTACGACACTCTGCTTACGACACCGTAGCGAGAAATGCGTTATAGGTCGACTGTTAACCCTCTAATCGCCGGCCGGCGTCTCATTTTGTGTTTTCCGGATCTTTTGTGACCGACGAATTTGATTTGCTTCATCTCTCGGGACATATCGCGACGTTTAATTGAAATTACAATATTATCGATGTTCGTCGAATAAATAATCGATAAATAGATGACGCGCTTTGTTACATCGCAATATCATCTTTATGAAAAATGAAGGATTAATCAATCATCGCGACAAATTTTGTGCGTGAATTTTACGAAATGCTCGGCGCGATAAATAATCAAATTTAATTTAATTGCGGAAATTCTTGCAAACAACACGCCCCTGGTGTAATTAACGCCAGACTCTTTAACGTCAAATCCGCGTTCCCGTCTGAAAACGCAGCATAATAGATATTACGTAACATTAATCAAGTCGCAGTCTAACAAAATACTCTCTACCAGGCATGCAAAACGTGTAATTCCGGGACATTGAACAATCGTAAGCGAGGAATTTTCTTTCTAACAACAGCTTTAGTCATCGAGATAAATAAAGACTTTCGCAGGAAAGTGCTGGGTCATTGTTTGTTCCTTGTACAAGCCCTCGCCGTATTTCAGAAAAATTTACACGGCAATTTTTGTAAATAATTTGCGAGAGAGAGAGAGAGAGAAAGAGAGAAAGGGGAGAAGAGAGAGAGAGAGAGTAAATGAATGAATTTTGCCAACACGGGATGGAATTTGCACTCACGCTAAATAAATTTGGTGCTGGCTCGCTCGAGCTTCCGGCTTGTTCGTTTCATAGAGTCTAATTTTAAGCTTGGCCGACTGGACGAGCGGACGGATGGATGGATGGATGGGCGGGTGGGTGGTTAGATGGACGAACGGACGGGAATGCGCTGTGGAAGCTCGTTAGATACTCGCCTTATGGGAATAATTGAACCATGAGCCGCAGAAACGCGTGCGCGGCGATCGATTCCTGTTTCGTCTTCCGGAGGATAAATACGTTCATTAGCGGCGAAAATTCGAATCGTTTTAATAAGCGACTGAATCGTTATTTTTGCGTTTATCCCGACATTGACTACACAGAAAAAAAAGGACATTCCTGTTTCGAAAATATATATTTAGTTTTATGGAAATTTTGAAATGAGATTATATTGCGCTAATTAAAGAAAAATATAATTGCTTGCTTGAATGAAGCCATTTTATTTAGTTCAATCGAGAAAAATATATTCTTACGATTTAATTTTCTTGAATGGAAAAGAAAGAATGTTAGGTAGAAAATAACATTTTTAAATCAAAGATTATAATTTTCTTAAAGTAGAATTAAATAATTATATATTCTTGAGATGACAATTATAATATTAAAATAAGATTATAATATTGTTGAAATTTAAAATTATTAAATTTTTCCAAGAAGATTAGAAATTGTTGCGTATATACGAAACAATCAACGCGTTAATTTAAGTATACAAGTTTTGATTTGACACTTTTTCTTTCTGTGTAATATTATCGCGGACAATTTAGATTGACAAAAAAAATATTTTACCCTAAGCAAAATTAGAGACGATATTTTTGTTTACGTTGCACTTTCACATGATGCTGACACTCTGAATTTTTTTTTGCGTACTGTGTATTCCATTAGAAAGCCTCGATCGGGCATCGAATATATTTAATCCTTCTCTTCATCGAGATGTTCGATCTTTAAACGCGATTATATTACACGGTCAATTTAAACCGTCTTGCGCCGATATCAGCCGGCACAAAGCTTAACTCAATTTATACCAAGTACAAGGGAAGACAATCCGGTTAAAGTGACTGTATCTAAGCGCCGTAAATAGATCATCGTCGGTGAAATGTCTTCACTCGATGTACGAATTATTAGCTTGGGTAGGAGACGCTTGTGTATAGATAATATTCGTGTTACAATCATCGCCTGCCGTTTAATCGCCGATCTGCTCTCGCTGATGTTCGAGTAACAACGTTGAGGCTCCAACGATATATGTATATTTATGCGCGCGTATTGCGGATTTTTTATTTTCAAATATTTCTCCGTGATCGATTAAAGAAATTCCGAGAAAGATCGGTCGCGAATAAATATCAGGTATATTTTTAGCGACAATTTTTTGTCCGTCCGACACGTTAATAATGCCACTTCGTTCAGAAGAAGATTACGACAAACTCTCTATTTAGCTACGTTGTTAGGACGAATGTCGGCGAGAGCGGCTTCCGGCTTTCCAATCTTCTTGTCCGTCCGTACTTTGCATATTTCTTTACAGGCGTGTTTCTTTTCAGCGAGGATGCGCGGGGCGTTTCGTAGGCAACGCGCGTAACGTGTCGAACTTTCGTCAGAAAGTACCGTAAGCGACGAGACGCGACTTGTCTGTCCCGCATACCGGGTGTCGAATTCGCAGGCTTTCGGCGGCGTTAATCATTCTATTTCGAGGGTCCCGAAGAAGCGACAGAGTGTGCATTAGTGGACGCGTCTCTCATACTGACGTCAAACGTCGAATTTCTAAGCTGCCAACTGCGCTCGACCAATAATCTTGCGGTTTACCTGCCAGTTTCGCCGCCGCCGCCGTCTCCCCCTCTCCCCCTCTCTCATCCCTTTTCACTTGCTCAAGTCGAATATTATGCTCGGCTTGCGATCGCGAGTATGTGCACGCATCGCAACACGCTCATCCATATTCATGCTAATTTCCATACGGTTGTATGCTCGTGAACGATCGACTTCATTTTGCTCTTAATAATGCCGTTCAATCGATGCAACATGCCTTACTTAGGCCTTGCGATTCATTTTTTTTTTTTTCGTCTCGCACTCGGGGATTTGTAGAAAAATGGCCCAAGGATTTTTAGTATTTTTATTTAAGGATGTTTTGTACCTATTTTCAAAATATATTGAGAATTTAATGAAAATTGTACAGAATGTCCTTACATATGTTTAGAATCTTCAGTACAATTTTTAAATCGATTTACTAAAGCGTTCACAAGTTATAAAGATTTTAATTTGCACCGAATTAATATGTCTTCTTATAACCACGTCGATTTAAATGATAAAAACACATGGAAATAATATTCAGAATTTGTTTAAAATTTGCAAAAGTT